GTAAGCCAGGCCCACCTGCTTTTCCCTCTCTGAAGTCTCAAAGGATGAGTTGGGTACAGGATTAGGTTTCAATTTGTGGTGATCATTTCTCTCAAAACATTAACAGGAAAACAAGAAAGCAGTAATTTAGAGCCTTGGTCTTTGGTGTTGGATGTACCATGTTTTCCAGCTGTGTTCCACCTCTCCACAGCCCCAAAACTTTACTTACTTTCTTTAAATGAACATTCTTAAAACAATTAAGAAATAGCAACTCAAGCAACAGCCACCAAAATTTTTCTGAGTGCTAACAGATGAAAGGCAGTGAAAAATAAACAGCTTCATGATTTATGCTACTAAGAAAGCTTTACGATTATCCTATTTAAATTAAGTTAAATGGAATTAAACAGAAGTAGGTGATTTATTAGCCAGATTCAAGGAAGGATTATGCTCAAAACTCCAATTTAACATTAACTATTCTGGCACAAGAAGTGGGAACATAGAGATTAAAGCTGCTACTGATACAAAATTAGCAGTGATCACAAGAGGCCTAAAATTAAATAGTGCCCCATTAGAATGACATAGTAATGCTACTTATTTTAAGATTAATATCAAAAACTTCAGATACAAGTTCATCAATTAGAAATTATAGAGTGTGGAACCATAGTGTGCTGAACCACAGAAGAACAAGGTGAAGCAGACAAAGAAGGTGCCAGGAGAAGCATTAAAAAAAAAAGGGAAGGATTAAGTCACTATCAAAACACTCAGGAGATCTCACGGGGCTATATATGTCAAGAGATAACCGCACCATTTCAGTTTAAAGGTAACTCTTAAAGCTACTAGAATCCCCTGGAGAGGAAAAGCACATTGGGAATAGGACATAAACCCAGCTTTTCTTAGCCTACAAGATCAAAAGGTGAGAGATACAAATGCCACCTATAAATAAATACAGCACAATGAATATAAACTACAGATAGAAAAAAAAGCCATTAAGGAGAAGCACACTGCAAGCATAGCAACAAAGGTATGTAGAAATGCCATGAACTGGAAGTTTTGCCATAAATTTAGACATCAGTACATAGTTAAACAATGAAATTCTACCCTAGTTCACTGATCAAAAGAGCAGCCACAAAATGTACCTACTTCAATAACAATGACGCATAACTTTATTAGGGGATTGACTGAAATTAGGCTTTTAATGACAAGGGATGAGACTAGATTGCCCAGGAAGCTTCTGCTAGTCCTTGAAAAGCAAATATGCACACTCATGTCTGGAGCAGAGGAGCAATCCCAACAGCTCCCATATGTTCTGCTCCGGCCTGTCTGGAGAAGGGAAAGGCTGTTCCTTTGGCAGCTCCGTGCTGGAAGAGCTCAGCGAGGCCCACGCACCGAGCCTTGGCACGGCTTCCCCCAGACAGACCCTGGACAAAGCAATTCCCGGTGGGCAGGGGCTGCTGGGGGCTGGCAGGAGCCGGAGGAGGCTGTGCCGTGCCGGGCTGTGCCCTCACGCCGGCGGCCGAGGGGCTCTGCCCCGCTCCGCCCCGGCCCGCACGGAGCCGTGAGGGGCCGGTCCGGGCGGCGAGCCTGGGCCGGCCGTCATCGCCCTCCCGGCGCCCCGGGGACACCGGGGCACACCGAGCCAGGATCGAGCCTCCCTCCCTGTCGTCCGCCGAGCCCTGAGCGCCTTTTACATAACAGGCGGCAGCGCCGCGGTTACACAACGAGCGGCCCCGGCCCGGCCGCGGAACCGGCGGGAGGGAGGGGAGGGGGCTCCGCCTGATCCCCTCAGCCGGGCTTGGCCGCCGCCATGGCGGCCCCTTCCCCGGGGTCACCTCCGCTACCTGCGCCGGGTCCGGCACCCGGGGCTGCAGGCGAGCAGCTCCTCTTCCCTTCCCTTCCCACCTCCCTCCTTCCCTCCCTGCCCGCCACCGCCAGCCCCTCACCATCGCGGCGCTGGGTGCCGCCGGCGAGCGCCCCGCCAGCCGGTCCCGTCGCTGGGCTCCTTCTCTATTCGCTTTTTCCCTTTCCCTCCCTTCCCCCGTGTTTACCCCCCTCCCCCCCCCGACCTGGAAGTGAATGTTGCAGCCGGCCGGGAGCCCGCCTCCCTTAAAGGGGCTGCGCCAGCACAGGTTCGGGCCGGGGCCGGGGAGCGGAGCCTCAACACTCGCGTTTGAGGCTCGAAGTGTGGGGAGAAGGCGCCATTGCGCTGCAAAGCGCTTCAGCCGCTCTTGTACGAGTGTGTGGGACCTTTGCTTCGGCCGGACCGAGAACTCTGAGGCGCCGGTGAGCGACCGGCTGGAGCAGGTGAGCAGCAGCTCTGGGCACCTCCCACAGCCATGGGCCGGCGTCAGCTTCGCACTTCGGGCTCTCGAGCCTCGGCAATTTAAGTGTTTCCTGCACAAACTGGTTTGTTCTGGTAATATGAATAATAACCTGCACCACTACAATAGGTTCTGCCGCCTGCTTTGGAGGGGAGCTTTGCTATGAGCATAAACCATTCCATACAAAGTAACTTCAGTTTTCAGATAACAGTACTAGTGAAGAAAACTTGTCTCCCAACCAATGTATACAATGTACCATTGGTCAAGAGAATACAGTTATTTCTTGTTTCAAGATACAGAGTAAAGAGTGATACAAATACCCTATCCAAATAAAAGGAATTAGAATATAGAATTTATGTAAAATAATTGTTGATTCTATATGCAGAAGCTTTGGATAACTGTTGTTTGCAAACTAGCAAGACACATAAGCAACTATTAAAGAACAATTGCTAAAATTATTTATGTTTCTGTCTTTACAAGATGGCAAAAGATTATATTATATAAAATACAGTTTTACCAGTTTAAAGGCTGCATAACAGATAGTTCCAATTCTTTAGATTAGGCTGCTGATGTAGAGAAAATAAATTACATGCTCAGGATCTGACAAACACAGAATTAAGAATCTTCATGTTCTGAATTTAACCACTTAAAAACCTAATCTGCTTAGAAGAAACAATTTACATAATTATGGACACAGATATTAGATTAGATAAAGAAGCAGCTCATACTATTATTCTTAGTCCATTACGTGTTTCTTCCACTTTGTAATGACTATTCTTTCAACGGCTTTTAAATTCACTGATTCACTCTGACCTATCACCAGATGCCTTGTTTTCTGAATTTGTGATAGGAACTGGGCTCAGGCAGTGAACTTTCAGTGACAGCCTGACCCCCTGCTCCCAGTGCCTGTTCTTAGCCTGCCTCCCTGTACTCAGGAATCCACTCCTGGTATGGAGCATATGGTTGAGTTGGCACAGGCTCAACACTGGCATCAGAAACTGCAAAGACAAAATCCCAGCAAAAGCAGACTCTCCAAGGACTTAAACTAATAAACTCAAGGAATTTCTACTCAGCCTACAGTGCAAACTGAAATGTTTTCAAAGCTGGATTTCCAAAGAAACAGTATTGTGGTACAAAAGCAGTTCATCTTCTAAAGGCCCCATCCAGAATGGTGATTCACACAAATATTTTCAGATTGCAGCCAGCACTGGCCAAGCAATGTATATCTTCTACCTGCAGTCTCACACACGTGGCAGTGGGTTTTGGTCAATACATATTGAAAACAAGACTTTAGCTGCACATGGAAAATCTGTTTTAACTACAAACCAAATTTTTAACAGTCTGAAAAGTTTTAAGGAAATACTTTTGAAGGTGTAACTGGTGTTTCAGCTATGTACCTGGCAGGGTTTGCTGCCAGTCCAGCTGGCACAGTTGGTCACTGTTAGCTCTAGCCCTTAATAAAGAATAAGGCTTCTTCCTATGGGAGACTCTGCACAGGATTTAACTGAGTTTTATTTATCCCAAAAACTTGTCAGGCCAGTGTTTTCCTACTAAAACAATTTGGGACAAAGCATTTGCAAATATTGTGAATATTCTTTGAAATTTATTTTAACTCAGACTGATTTTAAGCAATTCATCACATATAATTCTAATGTGCTACTTTACTCACAGAAAATTCAGTTTTTGCTCAGAACTGCTGGAATTGGATAGTGTGCCATGTTTTCTGTAAGTATTCTATTATCACATTTAGGTTAAATTAATCCATAATGTTGTGGGTGCCCATCCCTGGAAGTGTTCAAGACCAGGTTGGATGGGGCTTTGAGCAACCTGGGATAGTGGAAGGTATCCCTGCCCATGGCAGGGGGATGGAACAACATGATATTTAAGGTCCCTTCCCACCCAAACATTCTTTGATTCTCAGATCCAGGAGAACCAGGGTTCGTTGTGTGTTAGGTGTTTACCTGTTTCTGGGTGTTCCCAGTGCCCCAGCACTGCCTGCTCAGTGCAGGTTCCAGTACTTTGAAAAGCAAAGCACCTGTGAGAGCTTTTGTGGTACCACAGAAAGGAGTGGTGGCTGGGAGTCTCTCACAGCAGCACCTCTGTTCTAAAACGGATTTGGAAATTACCGAGCTTTAATCCAGCCAAAACTGTGCAGGAGGCAGATCGAGGAATAGGGACAGCCACCCTGCTCCTAGGCCATGCAGAGTGCAATTAATGTACTGCCATGTCTCAGTTTATGAGTTGTGCTGAATCAGACCTCGGGAATACGCAGCCGGTGCTGCAAAACTCTGAAAGTAAAATTATAACTGTGTGTTATCGCTTAAAACTGCTGAACCGTCAGAGTTCCGGTGACCCCGGGAGCGCACAGCAGGAACCGTAACGAGAGGAGCTGTAAAGAAGGCGCGGGAAGAGAGGACGGGGAAGAGACGGGGGAGTGACCGGAGGAGCGGCCACGGAGGGGCGGGAGGGGCGGCCGGAGGCGGAGCCCGGAGCGTGCAGAGGTGAGGCCCGGTGCGGGCGGAGGCGGGGCCCGGTGCGGACGGAGGCGGGGCCCGGTGAGGCCGGAGGCGGGGCCCGGTGAGGCCGGAGGCGGGGCCCGGAGCGGGCGGAGGCGGGGCCCGGTGAGACCGGAGGGGCCGGAGCGGCCGGAGGCGGGGCCCGGAGCGGGCGGAGGCGGGGCCCGGTGCGGGCGGGCGGAGCGGGCGGGGAAGGGCCGGTCCCGGCGGGGCGGTGCCGAATCGAACATTCGGCGCTCGCGGGAGAAGCTGCGGCGATCGCGCCGTGACCCAGCGCGGCCATGGCCGGCTTCATCAACTTCGCGGACGAGGAGGAGGTGCGGGCGTACCTGGAGAACCTGCACGTGGAGTACAGCTACCAGTGCTTCAAGGAGAAGGACCCGGACGGTAAGGCCCCGCCGCCGCCCCCCGCCCGCCGCCGCGGGCCCGGCGGGAGGCTCAGCCCGTGTCCCGTTCCTTGCAGGCTGCCAGCGCTTCGCCGATTACCTGGACGCCGTGAGGAAGGACTTCGTGGCGGCGGCGCGGGTGCTGCGCGACAACTGCGAGGTGCACGGGCACAGCGAGAGCTGCTACAAACTGGGGGCCTACCAGGCCCTCGGCAAAGGTGCGCAGGGGGTTCTGGCGCTCCTCCGCCTCCCCGGGCAGCCTGTTCCGATACCTGGCCACCCTCACATCTGCCTTGGCCTCCTGACCTTGAAGGAGCAACTACCTGTCCCGCTCCTTTCGTGGTCACCTCATAAAAGTTGGGGGAGGATGGAAAACCTAAAATTGTTTCCTTCTGAAACATCAGCTGTATGTTAGCTATGTATTATTTTTTTATAATTACAACTGTTTAACAGGTAAGTATAGCCAGTGCTCAGTGTTGCTGCATATTCAGTTCACAACATTTCTTCTTGTCAGACAGAAGAAAGACAGAAACGCAGAAACTAGTAATATGCATACCTAAGTAGTCTCCAAGTCTGGTCAAAATGAATTTGCTAGCACAGTAATGGAAAGTACTTAAATTAGTCAGAGATCTTCCAAAAGACAGTACTAGTAAAGAACAATATTTTTACTGTAGTTCAAAACTAGTTACAGTTATGGGGTAGGTATACTGGCGAAATAATACTTGCCTAGTGTAAGATATTAAATCCATGGATGTAGTAGTGGAATGAGTGTTTTGTGGATCTGGGTTATTTTTTGGATACTGGTGCTATTGTGATTACTGGTGAGTGGAGGACGGTTTTCAAAGACATTGGCAGAATGTTTATCACTGAGACAACAGTAATGTCTCTGAAGTCCTAAATATTGACCATAATATCTAAAGTGGTGGATGCTGTATTTCCAGTGGGAAGCATCCTGCAAAGCAAGAAGCTCCCAGCTGTTTTAACTATCCTCACAGTAATGTCTTGACTAACAGGTGGACTCAACCCAGATTTGAAAGCTGCCTACAAATCCTTCATCAAGTCATGTGAGAAAGGTGGGAAGAAGTCAGCAAATGCATGTCACAGCGCTGGGCTGCTGGCCCAGGACGGGAAAGCCAACAATGATCAGCCTGACCCTGTTGTTGCTAGAGACTATTACACAAAAGCCTGTGATGGCAATTTTGCTCCCAGCTGCTTCAACCTGAGTGTGATATACCTGCAGGGAGCACCTGGGGTCCCCAAGGACATGAGCCATGCCTTGAAATACTCGCTGAAAGGCTGTGAGCTGGGGCACGTGTGGGCTTGTGCCAATGCCAGCCGCATGTACAAACTGGGAGATGGTGTTGAGAAGAATGATGCTAAGGCAGAGGATCTGAAAAACAGGGCAAAACAGTTGCATAAAGAACAGAAAGAAGCTGCAAGTTCTGTAACATTTGGGGAGTAAAAGTTGCAGAGTTGGGGAGTTGGCAGTTGCAGATATTAAGACTGGTTTTTAAATGGCAAGTGAACTTAATATTTAAATTGTCACCGTACAGTTTTCATTTAAATAAATATCCTGTATTTGGATATGCAAATAAAATTATATTTTTGTGGATACAACAAATGTCTGTCTCTGCTGTGCCTTTCTACGTTTTTGAACACACAAGTTGTTAAGTGTATTTTGCTTACATCCTTCCCTTCTTTTTAAGGAATCCAAAAACTCTTGGTCTTTTGGGAATATTCCCCCAAGGTTTCAAGCACAAAGGATTTCTTTTGTGTCCAGCGCTTCAGTAGCTAGGCTTGTGCTCTGACCAGTCCTAAAATACACAAAAATCACAACTGCAGGTAATCCCAGCTTGGGCAGTCTGAACTGTTCCATTTCTCACAAGCATTTTCAGAACTTCGATGGCTGCACACTTGAGTGAGCTGCTCTAAGTAATTCATATTCATCTGTAATTCCATAGGTCTAGGCCAATTCCTTAGCTCCCTTAATTCCTCTAGCTGCCAATTGGTTTGTGACTGTCTGCCTGTCATATGTGCCTGAGTGCTTCAGGCTGCTCTCCCAGCATGATTGCCCCTTACTTGCTCACACACAAATTATTTTAGCTTCTGGAACACTGTGTTCTATTTTTTCTAGTTCAGATTTAGGGAACAAGGTGCTAACTCATCAGATCTTGGGCTCAAGTCCATAACCTATATACAAGCTGTAGCTAAACATACAGATTCTGAAACAGCTGTTTAAACAAGCAGGGCAGTGTTTATAAATGTGTTCCTGTGCTGACAGAATCCTTTGTAATTTTGGTGTGTGTAAATATATATGAAGTTTGTGGTGTGTATGTTTTGCTGTAAATGTACTACTCAGAACCTGAATCCTCTGACTCTGGACTAAATAAAGATACAAATTTTACTATTGAAATAAGTGAAGTGGGATTAAAAGCAACGTTACTTTGGCTGTGGCCACAAGTGAAAGCAGAGTTGTTGGCATCTCGCTGCATGCATGAATTAAAGCAGTTCTTCCAATTTAACAGAGTTCTTGGGAAGGACATTTGCTGCTCCAACAGAAACCCGAGCTGCACAGCACAGCAGTGACACAGGCACCCTGTAACAACAGATGGCAGTGTATGAAAACTGCACACTGGTGTGGCTCTGGTGCAGCCTGGAAAAAAGCAAATAGCAGTGGCAAAATCAGAGTAATTTTTCTGTTAGCAGTTATTTTTTACAGTTCAAAAAGGCAAAGTTCTTAGAGGAACGCTCTTTGCCTGATTTTTTTTGCTATGTACTATTCTGGGCATTTGTTTCACTTGGGAAAGGTAAGTAAATGCTACCTCTGTGGAGTGTAACGCCAGTAATAAAACAGTTTGGAATCTGTGTGTTCTGGAGTAGGCAGTTACAGGTGGGTCAAGGCACTGGAGAATTGGGTGGTATTTTAAGCCCCTGTAATGCTCAGTGCCACAGAGTGCCTTGTTCAGATCCTCAGCCCAAGCACTAGAGCAGTTTTCTTCCAGCAGGACTAATGACTGTCAGTGATTCTCCCAGGAACTTCCAATCAACACAGCAAACAAGCACTAGAGAACATCCTCAGTAGAGTGACACTGGATAATTAAAGCCACATATAAAGTGCATGTTGTGAGGATGTTTTTTCATAGCACTCAAGAACTCACAGACTTGCAGAGCTTAAATACTATAAAGCAAACCATTTTCATAAAAGCTGTTAGTGTGTAAGATAAATGTATGAAGTCTCATCCAATTTTGCACCACTGGTTGAAAAGACAAAGCCAAATTAAGGAAGACTCATGTTTTCAGGCTGTCTCTGAACAGTTTGCTGCCTGCTCCAGGCACACCTGTATCTTTTTTACACAAATATTGATGACAGATGCATTTAGACAGCTAAGGCCCTTGCCTATATGACTCTTTTCCTTCCAAAGTGACAAAGCATCCAAAAAAAAGGTCAGCCAGTCTCATTTCAGTGTGTTACAAATTATATATGCTTAATGCAGTCTGTAGCAGAGTATTCTCAACCTCAAGATTCTCTTCAGCAGACATAATCAAAATCCTTAGAGGCGAAAATTTTCCTGCAAATTTTGGCTTATAACCATCTTGCTCTCATATTATGGATATATTACCAAAATATCCAAATTACCAAAATATCTTCCTGCTCTTTCTTTTTACCTGATGTTACAAAGGCTACATTTTATATTCTTCTGATGGAAAGCTTTCTTCAAAGCCTCTAAGGTCGTAAAGAAAGTGTGATAGATATGTGATCATAGCAGAATACTTAGAAATATGGAAGAACTTGTTGATCTCGCCAGGATCAGTGGGTTTTCTAAGAAATAAGGGAGTTGATATCTGCTTCACAGTTCTTAAACCACTGTCTGCTTTCCCTTTAATTTGTTTGCATTGATCTAAGCATACAACCATTAATAAAGCAGCAATATACTTCAGAAGGAACCAAGCCTAATTAATTAAATAGACATCTGAATACATGGCTGTAAATGATGAAAGCATTCTCTGCAGGATGCTTCCTGCAGCTGTGAAAAGATCACCAGTGGAGGGCTGGTTTTGAACTGAGATTAAACACTGGCACCACATCATGTGTCATTAAGTGTCATTTGGATTAATCCTGGACAAAAGACGCTGTCCGGTAAAGAAGCCACATGATTTTGTAGAAAAAGAGAATAATTCTAGTGATTCTGTTTATGTGCTATATTGTAATAAAAGCAGTTTTGCAGCTTGCTGACCTTTTGTTCAGCCATCGGTAACAACTCCTCTCTGCAATGTATGTGTGAAGGGAGTTCTTGTGGCTGTACACACGCACCCAGAGGGATGGTCTGGGAGATTTTGTGTCATCACCACACCCAGAAACAAAAATAGTAGTTACTGTCGCTATATTTGTTCCAAATGTGTTTTATACTTCTTACAGACACACTTATTTTTTGAAGCCTTGTTTGTAATACCATAATACGATTTTTAAAAAATGAAATATTTTTGTAATCTTTTTATTCTAATCAACTAGTCAGATATTTGTGTGCTATGGAATTGTAAAATTTAGGCCACTTTGGAGTGGTGATTTCAGATAGAGATTTGTGAGCAGCATAATTGCAATGCATTCATGTGCTCAAATTCACGAGTGTGGTGGGAGTTCTCTGTAAGTTCTCATTCTGTCTATGCAAAACTGAAGAACAGTGCTTTAAACATACCCTGAAGAGTTTTTCTTAGCAACTGATAAAAAAGAAGAAAGAAAGAAGATGAAAATCCCACATGTTTATACAGCAATTGTCACCCACAGGATTCTCGTGCACTTCACCGTGTCCTTTCCAGCTCATACAGAGCCGTTCCATACAGACCTGGGGCAATAAAAATACCAGAGAAAAATGTTAATTGTTTGGCTGTGATGTAATTTCATATCTTGAAGATGAAGCTAACCTGAATTTATGTTAGACATAACACGTCCTTATTTTGACAGTTCTCTTTTGACACATAACAGCCTGGTGTGCACTTTAATTTTCACCAAAAAACATTGAAAAGAAGTGGGCTGGTTTCCTTCCAGCTCTCCTGCCACTGGAAGCACACCATGTTCCTATAGAGCTTCCTGCCCAGGAAATTCTTGTTGCTTTGCAACAACCTTTCCTGCAAACTCCTGAGAAGGAAACCTGGATTATGTCTTTAGGACAGGACAAGCCACTGAACAGTTACTGACTCATTGCAAGACACACGATGTCAGTAGGGGCCCAAACTGATTATTCTCCAAATGATATTTAGCAAGGCAAGGACTTATCAATTCATTACAAGCCAAGAAACACTAAGATGGGAAACTGGACTTTGAATGCTATTCTGATAATATTTATGGAGTATTATTGCAGACACATGTGATAGCCACATCAGCACAAGTGTTACCAATAACAGCTGAAGAGAAAATATGAAGCTGTGACATTTTCAACACTGCAATCAGCCCTTCAGAGAAGTTATTTTCTGTGACTTTTTAAGTGAAATGTTTTCTCCACAGCATTGTTTTACTTCTTTGTTCTGCAGCTGACACAAAGGCAATATAAAATATCTTACTTGTCAGGGAGACTGAGATAGAGTGACATCAACTGTCACAGGAGCCCAAACTTAACTCAGGCTGGCAGCTCGCACGCTGTGATATTTGTGAACAGACAGAGAGATTATGTATAATTTGAGGTAAAAATTTTAGATATTTTTGAAATTCTGAACTTATCCTAAATTCTTTTCTGCTGGGTTTTGTGAGTTATATACGTTCCTCAGAACTCAGGGGTTGATATCAGAAGATGCCAGGGACTGACATGGTTACAAAAGCCACAGAATATGTGAACAAATTCAATGCAAGTGAAGGTTTCTGCAGGAGCAGCACAATGATTTTGTTACAGCAAACAGTAAAAACTTCCCACACCCTTTAACACTTAACCAAAACATCTCTGCAGTGTACCTGGCTTGATAATTTCTGTTTTCTGTGTACTGCAGCATGCAATGACCAAGTGTGATGTTTGTTGACTGTTCTGTTCATTGCTCCCACAGCAGGGTGTGGACATTTCCAGATCACACTATCACACCGTAGTGACAATGCTGATCCACTGATGGTTTAACCTGCAACAAACCAACAGCTAGTTAATACAGTCCTATAAATGACAGGAGAAAGGTGATCTCTAGTAACTGGTTCTAATTCTCTATGACCTTTCTTTCCTAATCTAATGCCATCCTGATATGTGTGTCAAACTAAAGACTATGTCAGAGAGTATTTTCTTATGCAGTACCTGTACCCTTTAGGTAAGAATTTAAAGCTTTCAGTCCTTTTAAATTAAGGAGGATTTTGCTTTAGATATTGTACAGTTACAAGTTGCAGCCTAAGGCCATATTTATACACCAGAGCCCTGGAAAGATATATACATATACTATTTTCCCCATTATAATCTTTGGGGAGCAATTTCAAGAAAGGGTTCTGTTCTATGACTTGAATAAATAAATAACCTCCACTTGATTTTAGTGACTATTTTCCCCCTGCATTTTTTCAGTACTGACCCAGAATAATTGCTGTCATCCCACAGGCAGATGCATTACAATAATCAATGAGAGCTTTGAGCCGAATTGTGGAAAAGTTTTATATCATTGAAGCTCCAGTTGAAATGTTGCCCTCTGGAGTGCCAAAGGCAAGGTCATTTGGCAGGGTGCAATTCCAGCATCATGCACACAACCTGGGAAAATGGCATCCAGAGGCAAGGCAGGACCTGGAGCTCAGGAGCCTGCTGCTCACACTGCTGTGGGGATGCAAGTCCAGGCTGCTCACACCTTGCTTGGTGCTCTCAAAATGCATTAATGTTGCTGGGGACAAACAGAGGGTGACAGAAAGAAAGGTAACATCTTTAGATGTGTAAAGTATGAAAGAACAAAGCTTTTTGATTCAGTTCCTGTTCACTTGACTGAACCAGAGATATTGTGAGGCTTGGAAACAGATGTACCCTTGAAAACTAATTACATTGAAGCTTAATGCTTGCAAATTTTCTTTCAGGAAGGTACTTGTGCAGTTGGGGATTTTGGTCTGTTTCTCTGCTTTTCTCCTGCCGCTGCAAATGGATAAGATGAATGTGTGGAGGGGAATTGATTGAGTACTGTCTGTGCTTGGAGGCTTGAACTAATAAGTGACAAACATAAATGCTGTTTCTTGTTAGAACCTGCAATGTGCAATCCTGCTCAGCCTATGAATACAGCTAAAACCAAAGGGACTCTGCACATTTCCTGCAGCACATCAAGCATTAGCTTCCCCACCTGGGACGTATGTGATTGCTTTGGGGGCTTGCTGGAGTGTAACTCAGCTTGGCCCAATCGCTCCAAGAGGACAGCCCATAGCAGAGCTGGTAAAGATAAACAGGATCTTTTAAAATAGTAGAGTTTGTAAAGGAGGACAGCTTCACAACAGAAATGATCGGGAATAAATTGCATAGGAGAGGAACTATTTCTAGCCAGAACCTGCTTGTCCTTATACAAAATGAGAGCACGTGATTAATTAATACAAAGCGAATTCTATTTTTTCTCATTGCTCAGGCAGTAAACCAAAAGGACAAGTAATTTAATTTGGCAATTGAAGCATCTCTTGATGCCAGGAAAGGGTCGTATCAAACTGCTTTTTCCTGATGTCTCCAGAGTGCAGCAAGAGCTACAGTTACACTGTGTGCAACAGGGAGCCTGGAGGACTCAGAGATGCTGGACTACCTTGTTTAGCTCTGGAGATAAACAGATGATCCTTTTTTCCAGCTATGCCTATTCCTAAAGGAAAAATCCTAATTTAATGAAGGAGGCAGATCCAGATCATGGCATATTCAGATCACATATTTTCTGGAATAGAATCCCAAATCAGATCAAATTAGTCCTCGTGTATCTGCAAGGTGTCTGGGCAACCTGAAACAGAAATCTTTCACAATCCAAGACCTCCCCTGCTAATTAACCCTGCAATCCTTAAGGAGTGAAACTCCAGGCAGGAATATGACTCTATGGCATAGAGTGGGTGTTGATAGGCATTTATTAAACAAGGTGCAGGCTTAAACCCCCTGTGGGGCAGAAGAGGTGAGGGCTGGGACAAAATGTAGCCTTTCCTTATTGGCTTCTTCGCTTCCCATCTGTAGCCAGGGCTGAACCAGTGGGTAGGTGCACACACACACACACACACACACACACACACACACACACACACACACACGACACACACACGACACACACACACGACACACACACACACACACACACACATCTGAGTTTTGGAGACTGAGGGAGTTTTTAAGCTCAGACCCAGCTGTGCATTTACTTGATGGGATTGCAATAGCTATTTGGAGATTTTTGAGAACCCATTAAAGGCTGAAGAGTACCCCAGCACTTTGGATTGCAGGCAGTCTGAGTGCTCTGAATGGATGAAAGACTAGAACTAGACATCTCTATTTAAAAAAAAGAAACAACTCTAACCCCACAACAAAATCCAAATGTTCTCAGGATCGAACGAGCCTTTTGTGCTCTGTCCTCTCTATATGCTGCTCAGCTGTACTTTTCTTATTTTTCTGTGGGAGGACTGTTCCCTTGGCTACCAATGCTGGCCTCTAATAGTGGGCATTTGAGCACAGGATGAAAACATTGCTCTGTTTTTCTTTCATTCCTGCAGGAGCAGTGGGAACACAACTGGACAGATTTCTGGTAGGCAACAGCTCCAGATGATACCACTGAGCCAAGCTAGGTCATTGTGCCCTGCTGCACCCCTCCCTCCCAGGCACTGCTCCAGGTGATCTCTGTATTCCTGCTGGCCACTGCCTTGTCAGAGAAGTGCTAACAGGAGGTGAGGTCTGGGGCTTGTTTCTCTGCCCTCCTGCAGAGCAGACAGCACAGGCCACCTTCAGCTGCTCCAGCAACAGGTATTTCCTTTCAGCCACACGCAGCAGCAGTGCCCCATGTGCACAAGGAGCACAGCCAGCCTCATGCCAGCAGCAGGGCAGGTCACTGCACACACAGCTAATGCCTGGGAGCTCTAAGCAGTGTCTCTTAATCTTGCTGCCTTTCTATATTAAGGACATTGTTGCTTTGCATTAGAGGAATTAGAATAGTCTTGTCTCCTCTTGAGATCTCAAGGTCCTGCCTTCATTTGCCATTATGTGCTCTGTGAAACTTTGTTTCATTAAGGCTTCCTTCCTTCCAGTGACCTTTGCAAAATAACCCTCTCTCTGTAGCCCTCCGTGGTCTGAGGCTGTTCTTGTTTAAATTATGCTTCTGTGGAGGAAATCAAATACATCTTTTTCTCTACTTAAATGCCTGGAGCAAACTAATGTTCTCCTGCAGTCATGGAATGCAACAAAGGGACCATGATTCCAAGGGCAAGGTGAGGCTTGCAGTTTCTGTGGGAACTGGAGACCAATGTGATGGAAGGGGCAGAAGAGGGAAGCAAGAACACAGGTCCACCAGATGAACAGAAATGATTGTACCTTAGACAGAAGTTGAGAAAATGAGGCAATAAATATGAGTGGAGGAAGAGTTGTACACTAGTTAGCTGGGAACCTGGTAAGGACTTGAGGTGACTTATAACACAATAACCACTAATTTGGGATTGGGAGAAAAAGAGAAGTCACAAATACAGAAAGGCTCTACTGCTTTTATTATTTCCCCCCCGTATTTTCTGTGGTGGCCATACCAGGTACAGATATGACCAAACCTGAGAATTCAGGGACATGCCTGGTACACAGGTGGATCAATCCCATCTTTGTAAGCAGGACTGCTGGCTTTGCCTGCCAGAAAGGCTCAGAGAAGGAAATGTGTGGAGGAGGAACATGGGAAGCATTGGTGCAGGAGCTGCACTCAGGGCTTAGTTGTACAGGAATTTGCAGTGCTCCTGCCTAGCTCAGGAACAGAGGGGAAGTGATTAGCAGGTTGTTTTGCTGAGCCTGTGTGATCTGAATTGAAACTGAGCTATAAGGGGCCTTGCAGTTCTACAGTCTGGTTCTCTGTCTCAAGCTAGAATAATCTGTATTTATTATACCTGAAGAGTTGTCTGCTTAACCTCTACCAGAGGCTTCAGTCACTGCATTCTTTTTCCTGTGTTACTAAACTTTCCAGCAGATAACTCATTATTTCCTTGACCACCACAAATACAATGTTGTAAAAGAATAATATGGAAGCAAGCAAGAACAACCCAGCAGCACAGAAGCAGGAGCCCCAGCAGTCTGTGGCCTTCTTAAGCTCTCAAGTACTTATTTAGTTCAAGTTGAATGCAGTAGGGTGCTGTTTACAACCAAGTGAAGAACAAGAGCCCTTTCAGCACTCTGGGAAGTGGAGATACAATTCTTCAGCATCAGAGAAGATAACTAGCAGGGGGTCAGCACAAAAATGCAGCTCATTGCAATGAGGGAGAGAGGCAGAAAAAATGAGAGTAGCTTCTGGTATTAGTGATAAAGATCACCTCAGATTTATCTTTCAACTGTGTCGAAGTGTAACTGCTCTTCAGGTTTTATTGTTACTGCTGTCATTGCAATAATATGCTAGAAATGAAATGCTTTGTTTACTGATATCACCTGCCATGTGATATGCTGCTATTTTCACACCAGCACCAAGATTGTATCAGAAGTCCCAGCCAGCTGAATAGTACCTGGAATTAGAGGAAAGCAAATAGTGGAAACCTGCTGCTCCCAGCTTCTGTCCTAGTAGAGATGCTATAACGTGCACTAAATCCTGATTTTGTTTAAAATACTTTTACAGAAAAATGAAAGCTCTCCAATGGCTGTGGTCCAATTCCCCAGAAAAAAAGGCATCCAAAGCAGCCTTTCCATTGCTGGCATAGACAGCCCCGCTCTGTCACCTCCCTGAGAAGCAAAGCTAAAAACCAAACCTGTTGATCTGAATAAGCAGCCTGACATGATTTTCCAGTCCTAATCTGGTAATTCCGCCTCTGAAGGTTTGCTTGATGAGATGCAATATAGAAGATAAATAGTCCTTTGCAAAGGTTGGTCTACAGGTCATTACTTCAGCCAAAAATTTCCATTTCAAAGGAAATCAGAGGAAATCCAGTGAAGACCATGTGAAAACAGACTCACCCACCCGGCAGCCCAGTAAAAAGGCTCTTGGTGTGACCCAATGAGTCAGCTCATTTTCTGTCAAGCAACTCATTTAGCAGAAGGCTTCAAACCACTTTCACTGAACAATTCTCTTAGATTTCCATGGAATAAAACACCAGATCCCATTTGCACATTTTCTGACATTTTCTTTTTGCATTAAAACTCTGAGCTGCCCTTATCAGGTCAGGGTTGCCTTATCACCTTCCCCAGAAAGGCTTCAGTCCTATATAGAACAGAATTAATATTCACTGCATCCCTCAAGTCTTGGAGCTCGCCATTTAAAATTCCAAGTGCTGGCTTGGTAGCTCCAGCAAACACTAGGAAGGATTGTCAGGATTTTTGTAGCTCCTAAACCCCTTGGCACAGACCTCCCAAGTACAGCTCTGGCCATGGGCTGATCCCTGTGGATGTAGAGACCAACAGCCCCAGTGAGAACACCAGGGGTAACAGACCACTGCTCCCATTTAGCTCAAGATCACGATTTATTGCCACCAGTTACAAATGCAGCCTAATGAAAAGCAAAACTGCAGAAACACAATTTATCATTGACTCAAAAGAGAAATCAATATGTTCATATATATTAGAGGGAACAATCTCCATTAAAACCAAAGGGATGAGACAACAATGTTCTTCATACTTGCTAGGATCACACTGACTTTTAACATTTAAACATTTATGTCAAAAACTGATGGGTTCATACAAGAAATCAGCCCAATCCACCTGCTTTTACTGACTCATGGAAACTTACAGCCAATTACCAGGCCCTGCTGGGAAGGCACTTTTTCCAAATGTATGTGGAGGCCTGCAAAGAAGAGAAAGGTTTTTGCCTGTGAATGGTTCAGAGTAACCAGAAGATGCAGTGAGGTTCAATTTGCCCATACTGACACAGTACACTTTGCATTTTCTCATTTAAGGAAACAAAATTGCATTGAGGGGGTTTGTGTTTCTTTGATTGCTAAGAGATTGAATGGGGGCTGTTTGGGTCAAATGAAAAAATTTAAATGCAGTGCTTTGTGCAGGTGTCTTTGTTAAAATAAAATAACAATTTAAAATAAATCAAAAGAAACAGCCTCTAGTCACTAGCAGCCTCTCTGTTTTGTAATCATTTGTGGTTTAAATTACTGAAATGAAAATTTATTGGGATGCCACTTAAAGTAATTTCACTGCTTTCCTTCAGGAAGCAAAAAGTAGAAAGAATTAAGCTGGTCAGAGTAAAAATTCTGTCAAAGGAGTCATACACTATCCTGGCTCAACTAGGCCAGTGAGTGCCCATTTGCACAGCTGCAGTCTGCTCCACATAGCTGCTCATCATAGAGTGGCAAAATCCACTAAAAGAAATTAACTGCAACATTTGCTGCAACAGCTACATGAGACACTGGTACATTTTGTTACTGAAAACAAGGAACTTTCCAAGTGGCTCTGGTCACAGATTGCATTATGCACATTAAATGTCTGTGGCAGCAGGAGTACCAGACAGTAGGTGGAGAGAGGAACATGAACTGAGAAAAGGCAGAAAAATTACCTAATACAGCAAAACCACCAGCAGAGACTCACTACCAAGTTCACAATGAGCTGGAAGCCATAGGTCTACAAAGGTGTCAACACAACCACTACTTCTCACACTATACAGTCTATAAAGTACCTATGGCAGTCCTGAGGAGAAAAGTAGAAATGTGTTAACTAAGGAACACAAGGAAGGTTTGAAGAAGTCATCTCTAACTATGATGTCAAAGTACTACTTTTACATTTGCTGGTATCTCAGAGAAAACACTCTGGGAAGGAAAATCTTCTGTACTCAGAAGGTTACTCCAATGACCCTGGAGTACAAGCAAAGATTGATGTTCAAAGTAGAGGGAGGGCCCTGAGCACCACTTTCAGCTTTGGAAATTCGAAGTTACCTTATAGCTTGTGGTAGTTTGGAAGAAAATCCTGAAAAACTTGTTAAAACCAGGCATAAGTAAGTAAAAAGTATGTTCTTTGTTTTCTTTTTTGTGTCTTTAACTCTGGCTCTGATAAACCACTGAAATGTTTAAGCCTGTGCTTTGACAGAATGTGCCAGACTCACCCCTGCACAGGTAGGCTTACAAAGCATCTGGAGAGCTGTGAGCTGGGTGCTGCCTTGTTGTGCAAAGCCAGGACTCACCAAGTATCTCCTGCCTCCCGTCCTGGCCATTCTGTGCTGCAGGTTTGGCCCCAAGTGCTACTCACAAGCTAAGCCACAAAATGCTGCAGCCCTTGACACAAGGAGAAGACAAACTTCTTTGTGCCCACATCGAAGAGATGTGGGGACATTCACACCTAAACTTGCAGAGGAGTCATCCTGAAGGATATAAACACATTTTTTATTACTCTGTACATAAAAACATTGTATCTAATTGAAAATGTTCTATCTAAAAGAAATGTTCTGTCACTTTCTGCAAATCAATGGAAGTCGGAGTAAACCCATCTGTTTTAATCTCTGGGACTAATGCTGCTTCCTCTCTTTCATTAACATGTGTTTATCCTGCTCTCCCTTGCACGGGAAATGCAGCAACCCTGAACTTTGATTAGGAGTAATCAGAAAACATCCACACCTGCATGTAGGCAGTGGGAGGCTTTTCAACTGGAAATGGATTTTGAGAACATAATGTCTCTGTTTTGAAAGGGCAAATGCACCTTTCAAGGAATACAAGCAATAAAAACCATTAAGTATTGTGTTTCTTCAAGGATAGTAATGCTATCATAGAATCAAGTGCCTTAATTGCTGAAGTGATTAATTTCTGCTCTTCGGAATTAAATATATTCAATGTTGCTAAAGAAGTCCTGGAGAGTTTTTCATAAGCTGGATGATAGCACAGCCAGTGCTTATCATCTGTCCAAAACAAGGTGTCCTTTTTCTTGTCCATTTTAGGTTCAAGAGACAGGTGCAAGGACTGTGGTGGGGGGACCTGCAGTGGCACTAAAGCAGCCCAAGCAGCACTGCAGCAGGGCAGGCCGCGGAGGAGCAGGGTGATTTCTGCTGGAGAAAGCAGCCTGGCAGGGAAGCAGTGCCTAACTGAGATAAGTGGTTTTTATTCATTCTGTTCCCAAGTCTTTACTATCTTTAATGCCTTTTGAAATAAAGATTTTGGAAGCAAAGTCCTCCCTGATGGTATAACTTTCCTCATCTTTCGGTTAAATTCTAAGGATGTTTCTGCTCCTCATTTGTCAGGTTTTCCTCCCAGGAAAGAGGGAGGAAGGCAAGATTTACTACTCCCATAACACCTAAATATAAACTGTAATTAGATTTATAAACAACATCTACAGACCTGTTTCATAAGCTATAAAAAGCTTTGCAAAGTACATCTGTGCACTTCTGTTTCCTTTTCATAGTCTTTCACCTCTGCTTCTATTTCCCTAAATAGAAAGATAATAGTATTAATCTATTCCTTGGGGCTTTTGTGAAGATTCACAATTAATATTTATGCAGTAAAATGGAATAAATGCTGTATAAGTGCTGAGCATCATTATTGTTCTCTTTCTCTCTTCATTAGCACATCATGTACATGCCAAGTAGAACAGATAAACACAGAAATTAGCTGCCCTCAAAGTCGGGCATGAGAAAGGTAACACGACTGCTACAGAACCATTAATTAAAAATGTTTGCTGTGGCTGACATCTTTGGCTAACAAAACAACCCTCTGAGATTTAAAGAATTAAGTATGTTTTTTACTCATTTGAGCAAGTCCTGTCTGCAGCAAAGAAGTTCTGGGAATATTTTCAAATTAAATACGCTGCATATACTCTCACAGCAGCTGCATCTTAAACAGGAATCCAACTGAAGCAGCAAGTAGGTTTTGCATTCTAAAACCTGAAAACCTCAGTGATTCTTTCCAGATGTCATTTATTTTGTTTTCTTATTATATGTGTGTTTTCCAAAGCACAGCTCACATGGAACTGACTCCTCTGTTGCAATTACTATAGTAGCCAAACCCCATTTCCACAGGTTTTTGTTGCAGGAATTTGGATTAGTCCCAAAATGATCAGGACTTCTCATTTATCCATCTCAGGACTTCTGATATGCATCTCAGACCATGCTGGCCTGCAGAGCTGAGGTGGCCATGCCCTTCAGAGCAGTAAGGTTTTGCAGAGATAACCTCAAAGATTTTCTCTCTAGGAATATCTGGCTGCCTGATTGAATATAATTAACCCTGACACAGCTATTTAAAATGTATTGAACCATTTCATGTTCTCAGCATTTGCACTTCAGGATTATCCTAAAGGAAAAGGAGGAAGGATTCATCGTGAATGCTGTCAACTAATTTGCTTGATCTTTTCCTTTCAAGAGGAATAATTGCCAATGAGAAGCAGGGGAAACTGCAAATGGTGTGTAAAAATAAGTGTAATATGCAGCTATAAATTAAAATGTCCATTTGCCATGCATAAGAGCTAGTAAAAGAAACTCAGTGAAGCAGGACAGCTTTGCTCTCATCAAAATCAGAGCAGAATCTACCTGTCAAAAAACTAAATATTCTTTGTTCAAGCAGACCATTACACTGCTTTTTACACACTCTTTGCATTTCCTAACCACTCCTTAAAGCTCTTCTCTGTGACAATCCATAGCAATCCTTAACTAGAACTGCAGACTGCAAGGAGTCTCTATCAATTAACAACATTGCTACCAAATAGCAATGAAGGAGAAAAACCCTTTAAAAAATGAGACACTCAGTGTGGCAGCAATTGTTAACTGCAGGTGCCCTGCAGGACTCTCAGAGGAATCCAAAATGGAAATCCATGTGTTATAGTCCCCACCTGATGCTGGGAGAGACACTGCCTTTAGCACATATTTGCTGTGTTGTACCTATTTTCCCTGCACAGCAGGGTTTGGGTTGGGAATAATGGATTGGGTGGGGAGTTATGGCTGATGTAAACTTAAAACTACCTTTGCTCCTATTTAATTTTTTAAAAAATTGTGAACAGTGTATGAGTCCACCTTACAGGAGCACAGAAGGTGAGTGGTGCTAGAAGCTGTGATGAGAGGGAGGGAGGACATGCTGCTTAAATGCCATGGCTGGTGCAAGCCTAATGCCAAAAGAAGATGGTAAGACAAGGGGACCTGGAAGAGCCTGGGAGCAGGAATGTATAATGAAGTTACTGCATGAACAGGATGAAATAACTAAAAGTCATAAGAGTCACAGAAATCATGCTAAAGAAACTGGAGCAGTGAACTTTGGCTCCTAAGCTTCTTAATGTGTCCTTACCTATCCCAGTATCACTGATTCTCATTTGCATAAAATGCTTTATCTTATAACAGCAAATTATTTGCCAGCTGGCCTCTGCATCTGCTTCCTGGTCATTTGGGTTAATGGCATTTACGACTTTTCTTTAAAGAAATTGTTGTTGCAGCTTTCCCATGGTGCCAAAAGAAAAATATTTGTTGTTCTTCATGCTATCATTTTTAAAAGTCTAAGTTGTTTTTTGATTTGCTTAAACTGAGAATATGAGTAGCAAAAGAGAATTAAATTTGCATTGCATAAAATAAAGATGAAAGCACTTTGGTGGAGTCTTGATATACACTTAGGAAGCATTTTTAAAATACCCATGTTTGCAAAATGTACATATACACATTGAAGATCAGTTGCTTGTTCAAAGGATAATTTATTATAATTTATACGGTTTGGCTCCTGAAATAATCTGTTTTCTTCTTCCTGTAAGTTTCTAGATTATCTGAAAGGATCAGAGTAAGATGTTTGTTCCAGTGGATGTAGTCATCCACTATCATAAGCTTTCTTGTGCCTCTGGATAAGAATTTTATGCCCAACATTAAAGATGGTCCCATTTTTAGATAACTTGCAACAGCTCTTTTCCTTTGGAGGGTGCTGGGCCAGTTCCATAGGAGGACTGCACATGGTCTGTACATAATCTGGCAGATCCATTAACATCCTGTTAATTAGAGCTGCTTTTGTAAATTTGGGAATAAAGAAGCCTAGTCTGTCTCACTGAAATACCAGATACTGTAGCTTACCCATTATTTGTGCTTTAAGTTCTTTATTTCATCCTGGTGATGAAGAGTACAATGTTCATCACAAATCCAAACAAACATGGAGAATTTAGGTATCAAGAGCCAGTGGCCTGGTGTACTGAGGGAGGCAACAGGAGAGCAGCTGTCTGTGGTGGGTGTGCAGTGCCCGGCTGTACACTTGGATGCCTTCTCTTGTAATCCTCTGGCACATCAGAATGGCTCTTTCAGCTTTTTAATCAGCAGTAAAATAGAGAGACAATTCAATTTGTTAATTGTCTGGGAAGAAGAAGAAAACAACATTGCTACAATTTTGTTGAACAATTTTGTTTTCATGATCTCCATATCCGTATTGCTGATTAATTCACATTTCCAGCTGCCCTTCACATTTGCCATGAATTTACTTCACTCTCATAATTTTGTACCTTTTAAAATTTGATTTGACTGGAGCAATTTTTTTTCTCAGCTAATTCTGATTGTTTCTAATTTGGAAGGCAAAGGCAGATATGGCTTAGCATGACATTAATATCCCTCAACATTCTTCAGTTTTCATTTGACCACTGGAGAATTATTTAGTGGCTGAATGTCAGGTTTTAATGAAATGGTTTTTCTGGAAAAAACTGTTTTAGTTCAGTCCTTTACCCTTCTGAGCCACATAAATAAAGCTGGAGAACTGAACTGCTATTTGAAAACTGGTTACTGGAAGACAAGATGTGTACAATGGCAGTTCACATACTTTTCTCATTGCTTAAAAATCACATGGTGTTCAAACTTGCACCATTGTGCTATCCCAAACACTATGACATTGGGATTATATTCTGGAATTGTGCTGAGGGACCTTTAATAAACATCAGTTTCCTTGATAATTGGTACACATAATTAGATTATATTTCATTTAAAGAAAGCACCTAGCAAGAAAAAGTCTCACTCCAATCACATTAATTCATACTAAGCAAGATTTTTAATTACATCCAGGTATCTGGAGATGCAGCAAAGTGCTTAATTCACATGGTCTAGTGGAGAAGCAAGCTACAGTCAATTTTATAAACCTCACTTCAACTTCCTTAAGACCAATTCATCTTTCTTTTCTCTTCTGCTCTCTCCTGAGCACTCCTAGCCTGTGTTTCAAGCTGGCTGTGAGCCATACCCCACAGTCCTGAAGCTGAGAAAATGCAGATATCAGCCCAGACTCAGGGCTTTGCTAAACCATTGTTTGGAGATGGTATTTTCTTAGCAAGCAGAGTGAGATCATGTCTGCTCATAAAAAAATTGTAGGCACACCATTGGATTCAAGGTAATGTCAATTAATCCTCAAAATTGCTGGCACACAGAGTGAAGCAGAGATTAAAAGCAAATATGGCCTTAATGCACTGTTATGAGTTGTGCTGCTCAGGGCTTGGCAAATGTTCCCATCCAGAAAACCTCCAGGGATTCTACTTATCCTGCCTATCAGGCCCAGGACCATAAATCATTACACTAGAAATAAGGAACACTGGAAAACATAAACATTATTTAACAGTGTAGAGCTGTTTCTCCAGAGAAAAAAGAGTTGCTACAAGGATGAAAAACAATTTATTGTTGTTTTGGATTTGGGATGTACTTTTGCCACAGCAAACCAAACTTGGGGGACCATGTGTATACAGAAAATTTTAGTGAGTCAACTTAGTGCCAGCTTCCTTTCATTTTCCTTAGCCTGCTATGCTAACTCCAGGCCCCAGCTATGGATTGTACTGCTCTGGAGTCTCTGGAGAACACTTCTAAATGTGGCAGATAGGTGGGAAAAAGGGTTTCTTATTGATTCTCCAAAACTACCTTCATCCTGGCTAGACCCCTGCTAATGTGCCCCAGGGTATTTTCCAGGGCTGGCCTTGCACTGGAGAGCACAGAGCAGAAAATGTCATCTCTCCAAGTGAAAACAAGGACTAAATGTTTCTCAGTTTACTTATGTGAGCAGCAGAGCCCCTAGGTAATTAGGAGTTTGGTGGGTTCTCATTCTGAAGGGTTTAATGGATATTAGTGATGTTGAGGAATGCTGCTTTGAATAGTAAACACCATTGGAACTGTTTATCAACAAAACAATCTAGATCAGACACAGAGGATTAAAAATATCCAAAACAGTTTATGAAGTACTACTGGGTAAGAGACATTGCTTGAAAAACACAAGAATCACAGGGGAAAGCTATTATACACATTATTAGCTTATGGAATTTGATCTTTAGGTATAATTTAATGCCTTTGTGAGGCATTCAATAATACTTTAGTACTGTTAATGCCACCATATTTCATCAGTTTGCCCACTAACAACTATATGGTAACACAGAAAACACATGTCCTGTAATTTTTTATTCTTATATCTTCTGAATCTATATTCATATAGGTGCCTTCTTTAAAGTCTTTAGATAGGAAAGTAAGAACAACATTATGGATTATCTTAAGTGAGACCAAACTGGTCACAGCTTTTACTTTACTTCTTTTCCCCAAGTATTTTTTTATTGTTGCCTACACCATTTACCAATCACAACTAAAGCAGTCTTAAGCCGCCCCTGAGGAGATAAAATGCCACCCCTGCTTACATGAGATGTTTACAAAAGTAATGAGAATTTTGAGTATCTGGTTTTGTCTTTGGGGTTTGGCCATGGGTAAGATCCCTAACATGGAAATTTGCATACCCTCCCTACCAAAAAATATGCAGTATCTTTCTTTTTTATTTTCTAGAAAAAATGTTTGTTATAAATCTTGGATTAAGGTGTGGCCACAAACAAATTTGGGAAGGTGAAGTAATTGCTGTTTGCTGTAAGTAATTGCTTCTTGTTACAATTACCATAACAATTAATGTAATTCTCTATAATACCATTGGGAATAATAAAGTTAGCGGAGAACAGCAAACAAACACTTTTGTCTGCTCTGGAAAACAGATTAGTACCAAACCTGCCTTGTTATATGGACAGCAGGAGAGCTGCATCATTCTTATCACTTCACTTTCTTACTTTTAAATGCTTGGCTTAGTCAAAGTCATGAGAGACAATTAGGTTTTTGTCACTTAGCAACCATAACAGGCTTCATGAGCAAAGCAATTTGCAACAGACAGTACTTGACTACTAAACCTTACCACCACAGCACACCTACAGCCACTCACTCCTGTTTGAAATGAGGGAGTCTGGGCATAGAAAAACAACCAAAACACCTTTCAAAAAAAGTGTTTGCATTCCATTTCTCAAGCTACTTAGAGGAACTTTGTCTTCCCCTGATTTCCCACCATCCCATCACCCTTACAGAAGAGGTTTTGAAGAAGTCCTTGAGACAGGAAGGACACAAGGGAGCACCTAAGGCTGTCTTAAGGCATCTCAGTGCTAGTGCCACCCAAACCAACTGCAGTGAAACACCTGTGTACCATGGATATCACAGTGGACCTCTCCTTCTGTGTGTGCACTTGCATCACTTCGGTGCTTTCGAGTTTCAAGTAGGTACTTAGGATGTCCTTGGATGAATAGGAAGTCTTGAATGAAAATATGACAAAATTAAATAATGAAAAATTACTGTAATTCTACATTCTTGTAAATGATGGGACTTCGGGTCTTCAACAGTGGTAGACAAATCAAATATTGGTGACAAAAATATCGCATCTTTTTATAAAAGTACTTCAAGTAACTCTGTTGTAGAAGGATCACAATATGTAGTAAAGACTCAAGGCCTAATTCTGGTATTGATTGGAGCCATTCACACCATGGGCTCTCAAAGACTCAATTTAAGCAGGGCAGCAATAGGCACATTCTCCTTTCACCTCTGACCTGATGAAAGCACTCTTGACTCACTTTCAACACAATCCTGAACAATGTTTGATGGATATTACAGGAGCTCCCAATGGAAGCAGAAGCCCAGCGTGGCTGGTCTCAGAACACCGATGGATGAAGAGAATTTTACTCTGATATTCCAGCATCCAGCTAAACCATTCAGTTCTGGAAGACTGAATGGATGTAGCTGAAAATCACAGTAGCCAAGTATTTCTCATTACTTTTTGCTGCTGAAATTGCTATGGAAAATGGAGGAAATTACTTTGGCTGGGGCATGCAATGCTTGCCTAGAAGTCCTTAAGTGTTTTGTTCAGCCCCAGTACACAGAAAATAAAAACGTCTGAACAAATTTATTGAGGGTTTAGTTCTCTGTTTGTCACACTTGACAGCAAATCTTTGACTCCCTGGAGATTGGTGCTGCTGTGTGGGGAAGAGCAGCTCTCTCTTGCCACACCACCCTGCCTAATCTCTGGCACTGGTGATCTGCTTATTGATCATTGCTGCGAGATCCAGCTTTACAGACATCATCTGCAGGGATGCAGCAGAAAGGGAGTCAACAGAGGAAAAGTGGAACCTGCATCTATGGGGTCTTGGCAGCTGAAGAGCAACTGTCTCCCCTCAAAGCAGCTCCTGTGATAGCAGTGTCACAAAAGTCCACATTCACCTGAATTAGTACAAGTTCCAACAACAGTCTCGGTATATTAGACATTACGTTAACTATGTTCTATAGAGAAATAAAATTACATTTAAACTGTCTCTAATAATGTAAGTGCACCATGAAACTACTATAAATCCTTATGCTAAAATAAGCAACTAAATTTGCGATATTTTTGCTTTAAGAAATACTATTCTTTTTTTAACTTATACTTCTCTTTAACACAAAATAATAGGCAACCACAGATCTAATTGTCAGACTTAATTTATGCTTAATGACATTTGAAGTCTGCTCCTTAACTTCCAGAGAAATGGAAATTAATTTCCTCATATTTCCTTCCATTCCTTTCTTAAGCATGTGCAGCATTCCTGCCTCCTAAAGATTTACCCTTTAGAAGGCTGTTATGTGCCTTAAATACTGGGGGATCCTACTCTTCCTAGTCATTAGATTGGAAAGCCTATGTATTTGTAAAAATATTCATATTCCAAACCTGTTGCAAGACATACCTTATATATATCTAGGTGATCTTAGATTCTGAAAGTTACCTGGGATTAGTCTAATATTTTCCAGCCAAACCCCAGAGTTTTAGATACTGAAATGAACACGGTATACCTGAAAGAGAAGAACAAATTGGAAAAGTGTAAATGTTAGGGGTGGTATGACCCAGAATCCAAAACTTCAAATACTTTTTCCTGAATCATTTTATTCTGTGAGACTTGAAACCTACACAAACACAATTTTCTCCTGAGGCAGGAAGAATTTGAAATCTGGAAGGCTGAAAAATAACTTTCCCAAAAACCTTTCTCTCACATCTCTTCTGCCGTGTTAGACACTAGAGAAAGTACAGGAGTGTGTGAAGGCCTGGATGTGAGCACCTGACAGTGCCATGCTCCTGGGTGACCTGCCACTTTAGCAAGTCACAGGGTGACTGCTGAGCAGGGCAGCCTGAGATCTGGCAGCTGCAGAAGGAAACATGGGAACAACCTCACTGAATTCTTTGCTACAGCAGCACACCTGGATCAATAAGCCCTGGGTGGAGAATGGCATTGTCTTACATGGTCCTTCCTTTCCCATTTCTTTGTGTGCTTTTCAAACAGCACAAGGAAACAGATGGTCTATCCCTGGCATTGCACATCACAATTTTGCCCAGACAAGCCTGAGGTACAGAACTTTTTGCAGGTTATGATGAAGCTGGACATGGCTATCTATTAGCCAGTGTCCTTGACAGGATATATCCATACAATTTCAAACATTTTGTCCGTGGTGTAAATGACCATACAGAACAACGCCTTCCACAGGTTTTCTGTTCTCAGAGTCCTTTCTAACTCCATCTTTTGGAGTAAACTTTTTTTACTGTTCATGCTTGCTGCTCCTGTCTATTTCCCTTTCCCTGAATGTTACCATGAGGGATAAGCAATGCATGCTGAGTACTGCTTAGATACAGCCCAGTGATCTGCCAGTGAATTCCTTCTGTGGGTGTTTGAATTCCCCAAGACTAACTTACAGATTTAATTTAGTCCTATTATATCACTGAAATAGAATTCTGCACTTTCATTTTTCTCTGTCCTGGGATATCTTATGCTTCCTTACGCTATTCCCAAAAGCAGCTGCACAGGACATCATGTTTTGTGATGATTTTATTTTTGGCTGGCTCATAATTAACTGTTAGCTGGTGAGTTAAAGTATTATTCCACATGCCTTGTCTGAGACTACAGACTGACTGTGCAGCACTTTACCATTTTTAAGAAATTATTATTTAAGATATTGTGATATTCTAAATAACTTAGAAAATTACTTTGTTTGACTTTATTACGTGCTACCACTGAGGACTCTTCAGGCTCCTCACACTACCTGCTGTTGCTAAGCTGATAAATATGAAACACTGCCTGTTGATAAACCTGCATTTGTCTCAAGTGGAACAAGCTCTCCAGTTGTGACGTATTAGAGGGATCTTGACGCCAACTGCCACCCATTAACGTGCTAATCAGCACCAAGGGGAAGAGGCAGAGCCAAAACCACAGACCCAAAACTTCATCAAAGCTTGAAGGAAACCATAGTTTTACCAGAGTGGTGTTGTACCAGCAGCTCCTGCTCAGGCTCAGCACATTCATCCTCAGGGCAGAGGTGAGGACCTGCAGGACAAGTTACCACTTGTGAAGTCACAACTTGACAATCTTTTTATCTAAAAGATTTAACCAGCCCTCATGACCTTTGCTTTCCCAGCTCCTGCCTTCCCATGGCAACGGAGAAAATAAAAAATACAAAATATTCACAAATTACAGGACCTAATAATTTGTACCAAAGAGGAAACATATTAGTCAGAGCTGATCTGTACATTTAGTTATTAGAGCCAACAACTTCAGCACTTGCTTTTCCAACTGTAGCTCAAACTGTTAGTTTTTAAAAACACATGTATTGCATAAACACATAATCTAGTTACCTCTTAATTGTGGAGAGATTCTGAATTCATTGTCTTCATTGTGAATAAATCCATACATTTCACTTGCAGTTTCTGGCTTTTCATGCTGTAGGAAACACTCAGACACCATCTCACAAGACATTAAAGCCACTGCACCATGTCTCTCAATATCATTAAAATAAGGAATCGTCTCTGCTTAAAAATGCAAAGAAAAATTTTCCAGCTTCATTATTTTCTCCTCTGGAGAAAGGATTTTGGGATCTTTTTTAAAAAGGACAAAATGAAAACCAACTTTGGACTGAAAGGACAAGAATTTCCTTTACCTTTTAAAAACCCAAATGCACAAATACTGATTCTCCCGTTACTTTGCCTCACTTCTTTGCAGCTAAAACATCTCTTTAGCAAAACCAGTAACTGAAGGGTGCAGCCAGTCGATAAAGCTCAGATGGGGTGAAAAAAAATAGTTTTGAAACTTTGCAAATAAGTTGCTCTGAGCCAATTTTCCCACAGCTGAATCTTTGCCTTGTTTGTTCTCGTTTCCCACAGGTAGTTATGGCATTGGCAATTTGAAATAACTTGCTGATATTCACCATGTTGTTTTATTTCCTCTCCTATAATTGAGTTGTGTTGGTCTGACATTTTGATTCAGCACTATAAAAGAAGCAGATCCAATTTACTGAAATTTCTGTGGTTGATTCAAAAATACTGATTCAATTTCTCAGTACATTCATTAAGGGAAACATACTAAACCTTACATTTGTTTGCAGAAACAAAGTAGTCATTCATCAGGAACAAGAGGAACATCTCACTCTCCCTGGACTAAGTCACAACTTTGGGCAGGAATGCATCTGACCTGAGGCTTGGTTTCCTCAAGGCTTTTCTGTTTTGGAGTTCAGTCCTATAAAAGCCATTGCAGAGCCACTTTAGTACTCTCTTGACCCTGCATCAACACCTAACAGGTTTCCATGTGTGACAGAAGAGGGAGAACAGAGGCAGCAATAATGGCAAAGGACCAGGTCAATGCAAGGTGTTACCTGTGAAATCCAGATTATCATAATAAGCATGAGAACTGACAACATAAAATGTTCATAAGCCTGCTGCTCACTCTCCTGTGTAATTCTGGGGACAAACCCTGGCTCTTGCATTGCCCACCCTTTTGGAACCGATCCAGATTTTGCCTGGAGTAGGGCTCAGGAGGCTCAGGATGCTACTCCATCATGCTCCTCTGCAGAAGTTAATCCACAGCCAACCAAAGCCTAAATAAACAACCCATTTTCCCTCAAAACCTCTAGGTCACACTGTGTGGCCCAGCTGGCAAAATGTTCAGCACCGCTGATGGAGGAAAGAAAATAATCATGGTCCTTAATACCCTCTTGCCACCAGCTTCATTTTATCTGGGGGAAAGGGAAGCTGTGGTTCTTTAAGATACTCTTCAGCTTTAGTATCCTGAAACATCAGATGCAAAATAGGTGCTTGTGTGCATCTCTTTGAACTTACACTATTTCCATTAATCATTTTCACCACTCTGTTTTGCTGCTGCCATCAAAATGTACTCTCAGTATATAAAGCAAGGCTCTTCAACAGTTTTTCTAAAGGATCTGGGTTGGAAAACGCATAGGAGTAATGGATGGGACTAAAAAGATGCTTTCAATTTGCTGGTTTATAATACATGTGAAATCTAAGTTTCAGTATATTGGTCACAGATTTAGGGATTTCAGAGGTGCCTGGGTAGGTTCTTCCCATACAAAGGTATCTTGTACACACTCTACACACATACCTGAATCCCTTATCTCTATGTGTTTACCACACTCAGGAATTACAGAATGACAGGAAAGGGATGCTAACTGCAATAATCCTGCTGAGAACTAGAAACCTGCACCTGTTCCAAAGACCAAGAAATAAATGGTGTTGGGAACTTGGAGAGATCCTGATGGTGGTTGTTCAGATGAGGTTTTCAACTGTTTCAATTTTTTAATTCCTCACTTCACCTAAAAAGACAGGATTCCTGTGAGCTTCAGGCTAACAGAACAGAACTTTAAGGCTTCTCATTTTTATTCCTAGGAAGTAGCTGAATCTTTATGATTTCCTGCCTCAATTTTTCCAAAACTTGAAGGATGTAACAGTTGTGAGGATCTCTAGCATTTTTCATTCAGTAAAACTGTGACTTTTCTATGGTCTTTCTTCTATAATTAACAAATTGTTAAGGATAAAGCCTTCAGAAATTATACTTAAAAGTGATTAATTATGAAAATCATTATGTACTTGCCTGATTGTGTAGCAGCATCGATTAGTTATTTTCTACTTAGACCCAAAGTCAGATAAAGTAATGAAAGTGAACAGGCAGTTACTAATATTGCAGTATCTAGAGAATAGTAGGGATGACAAGAGCAGATCATTTTGCTGCCATTGCTGCCAGTTTGACTCCAAAGGAAGAAGCAGCCAGGCCCAAAACTGCCAGTGGGGACCAGCCAGCCAGGCCCCACTGAAATCCATCAGGGCTGCTGCTCATGCTGCTCTGCTGGTATCTGTGTGTGCACAGACACAAACGCACTCTCTATGTCCCACAGTCTGAGAGGCCTGTTTCACACAACTTTTATTTTGGCCCTATGATTAGAAAAACTCATCAACTTTAAAAAACAATAAAAAATGCTCACAGCAACTCCTATGAGATATAGTAGCTTCTGTATGGCTGATGGCACAACAGCCCTGAATTTGCTTTATGTGGTAATTTAAGCAATTTAAGCTTAAAACGTTCCCAGGGCAAAAATTAGGGCTATGTCTAACAAGTACATTAAGGCTTATTATGCCTATTAAGCACAGGGAGTCGTGCTTGTTGTGACTGCAGATTACATTTGAAAGCTGTTTTGGGCAGTGTGCTAATTCCCTAATCAAACCTGTGTGGGAGGTACTTTTTGGTGACATTTAGAAACCCTCAATTACAAAATAACTAGCTAAAAGGGCAAAGGAATGGGTTTTCCTAAGCACAGTGACAGAAAACAAAAACACACATTGGACATAACTAAAGAACTGGAACCACTCTTTTTGCATTCTGTTTTTTGCTTTTAATTCTGTTACTTTGGTGTCTTAAGAGACTCAAAATGAATAAATAGTCCAGTATGCAAGGGGAAAATAACCTTGTTATTTGAGGAATCAAAGATTTTGAAATTGCCCAAGAGACAGAAATCAAAGATATTTTGATCTTGCAACACTCAACATATCAAGTACATCTTGTTACTTTTAAGTATCTTTAGAATTTAAAAATTAAAGAAGTGCTGACTCAAATTTGTATGAAGTTAAAACAACTTAAATCTTTCTTTTTTATCTTCCATAAATCTTTTATTGGTGGTTTAAAATGAAGCATATGCTTCCAGAATGTTTATCTGATGGCTGGCATCCTCCGAGGAAACCAGATGGCAAAACTCATAAATCCTTCCCCTTCTGCTCTTTGACAGTCCCAATCAAGAAAGTTATGAGGCCAGAAGATCAGGTTTATGACCTGTTGTTATAAAAACATTTTCTTTATGCATCCAATGTGGTTTCAATTTTCTCCCAGTCCATAGTGGCAAATAGCAGTTTAATGAGATATTATATACAGACAGCTATTGGAAGAACACACATCACATTCTCTACTTCAGTGGGAGGCACTGGTGTATTGTTTCACACAAGACAGGTGAGATCAGAAGCACTTTGGGGTTTTGATGCACAGTACCAGACAGCTACAGAGTTTAAATTTCAAGCACTATCACACAAAAAGATGTCACTCCCAAACAGTAGACAAGCATTTTGTCTTAACAAGTTGAAGTATAACTGCAGACAAAATTGACATGGTAGGTAAATATTTAGGCTTCATCTGCAAATGCAAGTTATAATCTGTCTACTGCCTTAATATCAATAGCATGGTTAAACAGTTTTGAAATTCTTTTGATCACTCACCTTACAGAAGCCTCACAAGATGAAAAGAAATCATTATCATTAATGTTCATGATTTCAAGACTGAAAGCTTGAACAAACTGACAACTTAAATATGACAGTTAAGATTGTGTTGGTTGTTCCTAAGACTTCTGGGGAAATAAAATGTGCAAGTAGAGCTCTTTGATTACCTGAAGGAACTTTAACACTTCACAAATTAGTGCTCCAAACTGAAATACTACTGGAAAATTTTAGTTTCCTTCCCAAGAAATATTCCAACATGTTTTGATGAAGAATCTGCAAAACAATTGTGGATGTTTATTTCAATTCATTTCCGTGTATACTAATGCCAGTTAAAACAGCTGTTAAAATCTTAACTTCCCTACAAAAATTTATTCTTTATTAACTTCACCTTTTGTTAGAAAATTCTCCCATCAAAATAATTTCAAGATTCACAAGAATCTTCAGAGGAAACAAAGGTGAGGGGAAATGATAAATTAAGAAAAATACAACATAAATGCCAGATTTTATTGAGGTACTACATTCACGTTGGTTTGTGCACTGAACAGTCACATTTGGCTAAGACAACCATGTTCATGACATGAAGACACCACACTGAGATGGCACATGAGGAAAGCTTAAAATAAAGCTTGGTCAACACGGTGTGCCAAATTCTGCTCTGCTTGACAACTGTGTTATCTCACTGGAATTGCACAGGGTAGAGGCAACTTGCATGAAAATGACTGAACAGCAGTAGTTGACATGTGCAAATCAAATTACACAATTTCTTAGTATAGCAACCATACAGAAACACAGCCTGGCACAGCTTCAGATTGGCCTCTGGTTATCAACAGTGGTTGTAAGAGCCAGGAAACACCTCTGGAAGAGTGAGTCAGGTTCTCGTGGCTTATGGTCACAGTCCATCTTTGTGGCTTAGGAAGTGTCTTGAAGTTACTTGGCTCTGTCAACAGCTTGTTTTGGTGGAGGTTTTTTTAGGGATGCAGCTCTGTATCTGCAAAATACGGTAACAGTTACAAGTTAGACTGAACAGGGGAAGAATTTTTTCCTACAAAAAGATCCAGAACAAACCACACAGCTCAATCCATTTCACTGGCACAGATATTTCTTTCCAAGTAACTCATTATATTCCTAACCTTTATCAGGTGAAGAACAGCACCCATAAAGGGCATTACTAGAGCTATGAAACACTAAGTGCCTCCTCTAGGGGTGTTTGTGGATGGGTAGCTCTGCTGCTGCTCCTCTGCTGGGCAAGTGAGAACTTCCCCCTGCATGTGATAAAAGCTCACACACGATGGTGCTGAAACAAAACAAAAAAGGTTTTATAGATAAAGACAGTCATTCATCTAACATTACTATGCAGTGCTTCTTGGAAAATGCATGACTAATATCTATATCAAACCATTAATTTAATTTATTTTTAATGATAGACATATTCACAATGCATGCTTCAACCCTGAAAGACACCAGAACATATTCCAAACAGGTATTTTGATGAAAAAAAGCATGAAACTCTCACACATTGTCCTTCTTAGCTCAGTACAATTACCTTACTATTGGTTGTGAAAGCCAATTTCTATACAAATAAATTGCTCTACTGCTCATTAAAGCAGGATTGATTCTGAGGTAAAACACAACAGCTGTTGGTACAGATGGGTTTAGAAGCAAATGCTTGTCTGGATATGTAAAATAATGGACACACACTGAAGTCTGGCTGGACAATTTCAGCTAACTCAGCTATTGACAGAAGTTCTGAAGCATGAAATCTTGGACTCAAGGCAGATGGTAACTAGCAGCAAGAGCATCCTGACAGTTCTGTTTCACTGAGAGGAATGATGCTCATCTGAATTATCAATGATACTTTTTATGGATTCTAGATTATTTTCTGCTGAAGACTCTGAGGATGGTTACACATTCCTGATGAACTTAAATGAAACCTAAGACATACTTGTAAAATTAGATTTGTACCCTTCCCCGGCAGTGGCAGCTGAGGAGGCAAACTCTGTCCTGGAGTGTGTCAGATAAATAACCAGCTGCTCAGAAGAGGGGTTATCCTGCTGTATTGAACCATGGTGCATGTGAATGTGGAGTGTGGTTCTGGGTTCCACAATTTAAAAAGAATGTTAAGGGACTCAAAAGCATCCAGAAGAGACCAACAAAGCTGGGGAAAGGGCTGGAAGGACAGGTGGAAGGAGTGTCCCATGAGCAGTGCTTTCGGGCTTGTCTAGCTCAGGGACAAGGAGGCTGAGGGGTGACCTCACTGCTCTGACCAGTCTTCCTGATGAGGGGAATGTGGAAAGAATGGTGGCCCTGGCACAGGTTACCCAGAGAAGCTGTGGATACCCCATTCCTGGAAGTGCTCAAGGCCAAGTGGGATGGAGCTCTGAGCAACCTTGTCTACTGGAAGGTGTCCCTGCCCATAAGAGCAGGATTGGAACTAGATGATCCTGAAGGCCCCTTCCAGCCCAAACCATGCTGTGATTCTCTGTGATCTCTTCTTCCTGGTATCCAGTGAAAGGATGCCTGGGAATGGTTCAAAGCTGCACTAGGGGAGGTTTCGACTGGACATTAGAAAGCATTTCTTTACTATTTCGTCAGCTTCTTTAATTATACTTGAGGATATGGTTTCTCTTCTTTAACTACAGCACCTTGATTTTTATTCTATTTCACTTTCTTTTTATTTCAGAACATTTCTCAAGGGCACAGAGATAATTCTGAAAGGTAGTTTTAGCCCCAGAGTCTTGCAACCCTTCTCAGGGCGGTGTCATTCAAAAATTTTATTCATGTGCTCTTTAATCCTTCAGCCAAGCACTTACTACTTTTCTGGGATAATGTGCCAGACACTTCCCAAGACATCCTTCTTCCCTCCAAAAATGTGCTTGAGAATGAGTCACTGAAAATTTCTCTTTGACTGCATTTTCATAACGATCTGTAATCACAGCCATTTGTTCCCATTTACCTGATAGGCAAAATTACCTTGACAAAGAGAAATTAGATTGATTTGTCATGATCTGTCTTCACAAAATCTGTGTCAGATTTTTTTTGTGCATAGCTCAACTACTTAATAATTTATTGTATTATCACTCTAAGTAAGAAGCAATACCTTTACCTGCCTAGCTTCTTGCCTTTCCCTTTGGAAAGCTAAAAGCTGTGTTTACCCTTTTGCTGGAAAAGAGCAAGCAAACAAGCTTGAATTATATGCTGAGCTACACTGGGCACAAGGGGTCCTGTTCCTAATTAAAACTCAGTGAATTTGGCAGAAGAAATACGCCTGCTAAAGGAAATCTAATTGGCACCTGTAGCTTTCTCCCAGCAGTAGAAATTTGTAGCCACCGATGGACTTTCTGGCTTAATGCTGCACTGTGAAGTGGCTCCCCATGATAGGTGTGGGTATAAAATCTGCAGCATACACATGTAAAAACCAGGAGACAAAAACCAGTGAGAGACCTGGAATTTCAACCGACACTCAGCCATATTATATGTTGAAGTTCAGAAAAGATCCTTGCCTCCTTTTCCATTCTGAATCAGAAAGCAAAAAGGCTCACAGGCTAAGGACATAGTTTTTCTGGATTTAGCTCCAAATGAGATCTCAAGTATTTTTAGTCTTCACTAGAATGCCAGCCTCATTTTGACAACAAAAAAAAAGTTGGGTAATTCATCCACAAAAAAAGCTTCCAGATTTTTTTGTCTTTATATAATGCATGCATTCAAACTCTACCCAAGTCATTTGCAGCTCTCTCAATTCTCTCCCTGTAAGCAACAGTGGGTTAGCAGGCACCCTATAAACATCAGCTTCTCTACCACAACAGAAAAGCAGGCAATGAGAAGCATGAGGAAATGAGAGGCTTATGGCCATCAAAAAGCAATGTCACATTGACAGAGCTCAGCTCATCTCAGTACTTGGTGCCTGCCTGGGATATTTTTGGATTTTCTCACTACAGACGGCTTTCTGACTGCAGGATCCATTTTAGTCTTTCCATGGCATTTTTCTCCCACAAGCCATTTCATTTGCAACAGCAAAAAAAAAAAATGTGTGGAGGTGGTTAGGAGTTTTGAAATTAATTTTGTTACACTTCAGTATTTTTATAAGGACAAGGAGCCAAAATCACCTTGTTATGCTGATAAAGAGCTCTGAGAAAGATGCATTTGCACTTGGGATGCATAGTGTGGCTTTTTTTAAGGGCATAAGTGAAACAGGGAAGTCTTGACTCATTTACTTTCCTGCTCATCTGAAAACAACTGCTGAGCAAACAGGACCACTTATTTTTCTTGTGATAGACATTGCTGATCTGCAGCTATTCTCACATTCTTAGACTGTTGAGCCATGAGCTTTCACCCCCTGCAGAAAGTAAAATGCATGTTTCATGCCATCTGAAGTCCTTTGCATTATTCATAAAGTCCTTTTAAGTCTGAAGTACAACTCATCTGTACTGGGGTACATTTAAAACACTATTCTGCATGGTCTGTGCCATAGGCAGTTTGACCTTTACACATGATTTCAGCATAAAAATCATTTTCTTGCAAGATAACCCTCTCCAGCCCTGTAGCAGAATTTACCTGCCACTGATTCCTGCACCCCCAGGAAGAAATGGAAGACTGAACTGCCCTATAGAAACCTTACTGCTTCCACCCTTTGTCATATAGGAGCCTTTCTGGCAATTCATCACTAAAGAAATTCTTTTGAATAAGTTACAGTGTCTGCCTCCTTAGTAAGCCCTGGTGCACTCAGGGCAGCTCAGGGAAAGGACAATAACAGCATAAGGGAATGTAATCTTCTCTGGCACATAACCATGATGGAGTATTCAGTGCCAGTAAATCTAGAAGAGATTTGTCTGGGGAAGGACTCTGTCCAAGTCTCTGCAGATACATCCCTGTGCAAGGACAGCATCAGGGCAGTGTATAAATGAATCAGCCAGAGACAGTTTGCTAATGCTTTTCAAAAAGTTAAAAACACACATAAAGAATCACTTTATAAAATCCATGTAAAACAGAGTAGAAAGTATACAAATACAACAAAATGAGATAAAAAGAAATGTTCTCGTGGTACCTCTTTTCTCCATAACATTGGTAGAATCCATTCAGTGCCTCTGTCTTTAACATATCGAACTCCCTCTGGCCTCACTGTCTGTAAAACAAAGGCATTTTTAGAATTAAGAGCATTATTCTTCAATCAGTTGAAGTAGTAATACATAGATATGCTCACTGCACTAGAAAAATCACAGTTCCTGGATTCTTCTGCAATTTTTAGAGGATGAGACAGATTGGATCCATTCCACTTTGCATTCCTGGGCCTTAGGGAGGCTGCAGTTATTAACTTACTTGGGTTAAAAAGGAATAAACATCAAAGTGAAGAGCAGTTTAAGGAAGCAGCACTGTGGTATAAGCTGGGCTTGTAGCAGGAAATCAGAAAGTCTCCTCAAAGAAATCACACAAAAAATTTCCATATTCAAGAAAACAGACCAGAAATCTCAAACTTTCATCCCTCTCCAAACATAATCAGTCACTGTTGCTTTCAGTGCACCTTCATCCAGTGATCCCAAAGCTCTGAGTGTGTGTAGGGAGGCTCACAATATTTCTTTGCAAGTGCTACCCAAGTTTTATAGAAAGATTAACGTGATGACAGGAGCAGATAAAACTATTTTTAGTTAAGCATTTTACCAATTTCCCACAAAATCTTTACTTCTGGCATCTCCCATCTTTGGAGCATTTGGTTTTGAAGCTTAGTAGCATTTGACTATGGTTTTTTTTTTAACTTCATAGGTTAATGTAAGTAATACTTAAAATTCCACCAGCTAACTGATACAGACACCTGCTTGGAGCAGAAGAGCAGGAATCTTTTAATTCACTACAGATAACTTGAATTTGCCCTACTGACCAGAGTAACTAAAGCAAAGGCAGCCTCCGGTGGATCACTGCAGGAAGGGAAGATTGAGATACTCTGGCAGCTTCCACTGATCCCTGCTGACAGTTGAGAAAACAAAGTTCTAGAAGAAA